CTTTAATTAACTAGTTTAATTTTAATTAAAACATTAATTAATTAAACTTAATTTTAATTAAATTTTAAATTAATTAATTTAATTTCAATGGAAGCTTTAATTAATTATTAATAATTAAATTCCAACTTTAATTATAATTAATAAATTTAATATTAAAATTAAAAGCTTTAATAATAAAATTAATAAATATAATAATAAATAATTTAATTATTTTAAAAATAAATGTTTAAATGTATTATTAAATAAATGTTAAAAAGTTTAAAAGTTTATTTATTATTATTAATAATTTAAATAATAAATAATTAATTTATTAAAAAATTAATAACTAAAAAATAAATAATTAAAAAATTAGTTATATAATTAATAATTATATAATTAAAAATATTAATATAAAATATAATAATATTAATATAAAATATAATAATATTAATATAAAATATAATAATATTAATATAAATTTTTATAAAATTAATAAAAAATTAATATAAATTTAAACGAATAATATAATAATAATTTATAAAGTAATAAAAGTTTATATTAATAATATATTTATTATTTATTTTAATATTAAAGTTTATATTTAAATATTTAATATTATTATTATTAATAATATTATAATAATTAATATTAATGAAATTTAATTTTATTTTTTTTGTTTTATTATATTTTTTATTTAATATAAATTAATTTTTAATGTTATTATTTTAAAGTTTTTTAAGTATATTTTTAAAAAATTTTATAATTTAATATTAATTTTTTATTTAATTTTATTTAAAATTTAAATAAAATAATTAATTTAATTTATAAAATTTATAAAAACATTTTTTAATATAAAAAATAAATTAATAATAAATTATTAATTTTATAAAATTTATAAATATTAAATAATTAATTTAAAAAATTTTTAAAATTTAAAATTATTAATAATTTAGTTCGAATTATATTATAATTTTAAATCTTTAAATATAATATAAATATATCGTTAAATTAAAATCTTTATATATATTAATAAAAATTTTATTAATTTTATTTAAAAAATTAAAACTTTAATTTTTCGAAAAAATTAATAATAAATATAATTTTTTTTTTTAAAATTATTAATTATATTTAATTAATATAAACTTAATAAATATAATATATAAACTTTGTATTAATATAATAATATAATAAAATATAATTAATATAACTTTTTTAAATTATTAATAAAACTTTTTTAAAATTTAATAAATAACCGAAAAAAACTTAACTTAATAAAAATTCGGAAAATAATTAATAAAAATTTAAAAAGTAATTAATATAAACTTAAAACCGATAAAAATTTAAAAAATAATTTAAGTTTATAACGCGTTAAAATAATAATTCGGTTTTAAAAATAAAATTAATAAATATTATTTTTTATATAAATTAAAAAATATATATATATATAACGAAAAATAAAATTTTTATAATAATTTAACGAAAAAATTATATAATGAATTTTTTTATTAAAATAAACGGTTCGTTACACCGAAAATCCGAAATAAAAAATAAAAAAACTTTATTTAAATAAATGATAAAAAATTAAATTAATCGTTATTTTAAAAAATAATAAAAATAAAATAAAATTATTATTTAATAAAACTTAATTATAATATTATAAATAATAATTAATTATTTTAAATTTAAATTAATTAAAAATTATCGAAAAAAAAAATCATTTATTATATTAACGTAATTAAAATATATAATTAAAAACGTATAATTAAATTAAAATAAATATATATTTTATTATTTAATAATTTTTTTAAAATTAAAATTTTTTATAATTATATATTTTATTTTATAATTTAATATTATTTTAAATAATTAAATAATTAAATTAATTATAAATATATATTATATTTATATTAAAATAATAAATATTATTATATTATAATATAATAATTATATAATTATAATTAATTTATTTATTTATTTATTAATTATTTTAAATATATTATTTAATAAAATAAATAAATTTTAATATTTCGAAATTTTAAAAAAAAAATTATTAAAATTGTTTTATTATTTTAAACTTTAATAAATAATTTAATTTAATTTTTAAAAATTTTAATTTTTTTTAAATATTTATAATATTTAATTTTAAATTTAAATTTATATTATTAATTTTATTATAAGTTTATTTTTTAAAAATTTAATTTATATAAAATTTTAATTTTAAATAAATTTAAATTAAAAATTAAGAATTTTTATTTTTTTTAATTTAAATAAAGTTTAATTTTAAATTATTAAAATAAAATTTAAATTATTTTTATAATTTTTATTAAAAACGTTTAAAAAATTTTTAAAAAATATTATAAAAACTTTAATTTTTAATTTTTTTAAAATTATTAATTAATTAATTTTATTTTAATAAAAATATTAATTAATTAAATTTAATTTTAATTAAAATTTTAATTAATTAATAATAATTATTTATTTATTTATTTTTTATTTCGAATATTCGTAAAAAACGTTCGGTATTATTATAAAATAAATTTTCGCATATATTTAACCGGCGTAAGTTTATTAATTATTTATATACGTTACGGTTATAATCGATATAAAGTTTTTTTATTAAGTTTATTTTATTTAAAATAATAAAAAAAATTTTATAATAATTAAAATAAAAAACTTTATATTTTTTATATAATAATTTATTTTATTTTATTATATTTTAATTAAAAGCTTTAATTTATAAATTATAAAAATTATATTTTATTATATAATTATTTAAAAAAAATATTAAATTAATTTTTAATTATTAAAAATATAATAATATATTTTTAAATATACCGGTTTTAAATAATAATTATAAATTTTAATAATTATTTTAATAAATTTATTTTATTATCGGCAAGTGTTTAAAAAAAAGCGGGTATAAAACGGATAATATATTTTCCGTTATCGTTAAAATAATTTATTAAAAATAAAATAAAATTTTTTTATTATTTTTTTTAAAATAAAAACGGTTTATTTTTTAACCGTTATTTATTTATTAATAATAATTTTAATAATTTTTTAAACTTTTAAACTTTTAAAATATTTCATTTTAAAAAAAGTAAATTAAACGGGAATGTATTAACGTTATTTTTTTAAATTATAAAATAATAAAGTTCGGATTTTATTAAAAATAAAATTTATAATAATTAAAAAATTTAAATTTTTTCCTTTAAATTAAAACAAGTAATTAATTAATTAAAAACGAATTAAATATTAAATTATTACGTTAAATTATTAATTAATAATAATTAAATTTTAATTTTAATAATATAATTTTTTAAAATTTTTTTATTACGTAATAAATATAAAAATTAATTAAAACGGTTTAAATTTTTTTAATATATAATTTTTATATAAAAATATATTTTATAATAATATTATACGTTTTTTTATAATATATATTATATAATTATATAAAATTTTATTATTATATTTATAAAATTTAAAATTTTATTATTAATTATTATTTTTAAGTTTTAATTATTATTATTTAATTATAAAAAAAATATTTTTATTATTTTATTAAAACGTTTATTTTTATTTTATTATTTACGTTCGTTTTTATTCGTTTTTAATATATTTTAATTTATTAATAAAATTAAAAATATAAACGAAAATAAATTTATAAATAATAAAAAATTTATTATTTTTAAATAATATTAATAATATAATTTAAAAATAAATTAAATAATTATTTTATATAATATTATTATATAATTTAAAAATATTAATATAAATAATATTTAATAATAAATTTAAATTTTATTATAATAAATATTAAAATATAATATAATAAAATTTATAAAATTATAAATTTTATAAAATTTAAAAGTTTATAAATTAAAAATTTTTTTTTTAATAAAAGGTTTATTTTTTTTAAATATATAATAAAATTATTATATAATAAATAATAAAAATAACGGTTATATAAAAAACACGTGTATTATATATACGGGAAATTAAATAAAATATTAAAATTAACGTTTAAAAATAACTTTTTTTTTAAATTTTTAAGTTTTAATTTTAAATAATTATAAATTTATTATTTATTATTTAATTTTATTTATTTTATTTTTATAAATTTAAAATTTAATAAAATAATATATTTATAATTATATTATAATTATAAATTAATAAAAAATTAAATTATAAAATATAAAACTTTTATTTATAATAAAATAAATTATTAATTTTTTAATTTTATTTTTAAAATATATAATATATATATATATATATAAATTTAAAATATATAATAAATTAATTAAATATAAAAATTATTAACGTTATAAAAATAAAAATAAAATTAAAAAATATTTATTATAAGATTTAAAGGTTTATAAGTTAAGAAATTTCCTTATAATAAAAAGTTTATCTTTTTTTAAAATACATGATAAAGCCATTATATAATAAGCGATAAAGGTGGCGGTTATATAAAAAACACGTGTATTATATATGAAAAATTAAATAAAATATTAAAATTAACGTTTAAAAATAATTTTTTTTTTTAAAATTTTTAAACTTTAATTTTAAATAATTATAAATTTATTATTTATTATTTAATTTTATTTATTTTATTTTTATATTTATATTATATTAATATTTTTATAACGGGTAAATTTTATTATTTATAATATTCCGAAATTATTTTATTTACGATTTTTATAAAATTTAAAAATTTATAAATTAAAAAATTTTTTTATAATAAAAATTTTTTTTTTTAAAATATATAATAAAATTATTATATAATAAATAATAAAAATAATAATTATATAAAAAATATATATATTATATACGAAAAATTAAATAAAATATTAAAATTAACGTTTAAAAATAATTTTTTTTTTAAATTTTTAAATTTTAATTTTAATTAATTATAAATTTATTATTTATTATTTAATTTTATTTATTTTATTTTTATAATTTTTATTTTTTTTAAAAATTATTAATTTAATTAATAAATAATAACTTTTACCCGCAGGTTTTTTATCCTTATTAAAATAATTTTCAATTCTTATAATTAATTAACCTTAACTCACTTTTATAATCGAATAAAATTCCTTAAAACTCGGAACTTAATAACATACTTGCAATTACATTTTTTTCTTTACCTACTTAAACTTAATCCTTGTCTAACCTTACAGCTGCGCTTCCTTGCACGAAATTCAGATCTACTTTATGACCTAATAACTCACGAATGTTTGAGATCCCGTACTTAATCATTGTGGGTCGTTCCAATGAAAGGCCCCATCCATATACGCGTGTATCTTTTCTATTAAAAACAAGTTAGGAATTCGGGGCGTTTCAATAAGTCAGTGTATGCAATACGTACGGAAAACCCATTGCTTCCAGCATTTCAGGTCTGAACATTCCGCTGTTTCCTATCTCAATAAGCTTTCCGAGGCCCTTGTCTGATAGCAACCTGTTAGAATCATCACAGAATGGAAAGCTGCGACACCTAGGATTATTAGATAGTAGGGAATACGTACGATATGAGAAGATCTCCATGCTCGGTTCAGTATCTAACCAATATTAGCGTCCATGATATCATATAATAAAAGGGGCTGGGAGATGTGTATATTTCCGAAACTCCGCGTGTAGTCTTGCGATTAATTGGGAATGAGGAAATGTTTTGGAGGATACGCACAGGGGTTGTATGCTGGCTTGTATTTGAGGTCCGTTATGCCCATCTTGCCAAAGAATATATCCATGAACTGAAAACAATTAGCTATGGTTTCGGGCTACCTTTGGTTAGGCACAGATGGATAATATCTATCCTTACTTCCATGAGTCCGCCCAACGTTAGGTCTCTGTCAGCAATGACCCCTTCGACCTGATGGAACTCGGCAAGATGCGTTGCGTCGACGCTCTCATTTCGGAATACTCTGTCGATGGAAAAATAACGGGCTGGAGGTGGACGCCCATCTGGTCCCTTCCTTGCTGCTAGTTTATGTAGCATGTTTGCACTGATTGCTGTCGTGTGGGTACGTAGTACAAGCCGTAAGGACTCTTCACCCGACCAGGGATACCGGTAACCGATCGAGCCATATTTGCCATCCTGTCCCCGAGTGAAGTTAGAATATCCTGCTAGCTTAGGTGAAGGTCGGGGTTACTGGTTAAGTGGAGTATTCCCGATATTTGCAAGGTAAATCATAGAGCATATACACATTGGTAAAGTACGCACCTGATGAACCGCCTTCACATTCTCCCAATAGGTAGCGTAGTCCTTCTCGTCCTCGGACGATGTTGCTCGCGGTATATCGGCGGCTGCCGGGTCAGAAATATAGAACTATGATATGAATATGTTAGAAAGACAAGCGCGATACGGTACTGGGACTAGCCAATATTCATGACAAGATCGACAGAGATAGCAGTCATGGGGTTAGAATGAGAGCAGACGTAGCATACGGTATCTTGTAGGTCACGAGCTGGGTGCTGCTGTGGAACAAAGAGGACATCGAAATTCCAGAAGCCGGATTCAACGAACCTGGAATAGGGGCGCACGTTAGTTATCACAGATGATCGCAACCTTTGAAAACGATTACTTACTTGTCAGTAGGCATCTCCTCAAATCCCATTTCGAAGAATATTTGCCTGAATTCGGCACGGACCTTGTTGAGCGGATGCAACGCACCCGAGTGCTGATCTGCCCCCGAAGCCTTGAAATTGTAAGGCTTGAATGTGGCCGTCTTCCACGAGCCGGTGGCAATCATGTCGGCGGTTAGATCCGTAGCTTCCTCGGGAATTTTGAGAGCGAATTTGGCACCCTTGTGGATTTTGAAGCTGATGATCTTCTGCATCCTGATGAGCTTTCGCTTCTTTAAGTCGGCAAGTAGTTTCGCGTCTGGATATGTCCGTGTCTCCTTAATGGTTTGCAACTGCTCCTTGGTAACATCTCGTATCGAGTCCATTGCGGCTTTGAACTTGCCCTCTGCGGAGAAAAATTGTATGTCAGTCGGCCTGCGCTAGATTGGACGGAAAAGCGTCCCTGTACGCACCTTTGGTCTTGGTTATCCACTTCTCCTTGAATGCCCTTCCTTGACCAATCTTGACAACATTTTTGTCACCGATAGTCTTCTCTAGGTCCTGCACGGTGAGACCATCGACAGCAGCACGCAAGGCATCGAATATGCGGGCCTCGTGGCTACCATCGGCGGCGATCTGCTCGCCCTCGGGTTCTAGTATAGCCTCCTCCTTTTCTATAGTATCATAGACGACCATGTCGCGTGAGGCTAAACGATCTAGGGCCGCCTTCACCTCGACAAAGCCAGCTGCTGGGAAGGCTTCGGCAGACAGGAGCGGCGAGGACTTGTCGAGAGATTGGAGTATCTGGCTAGTGAGGTCCCCGGAAGGGGATGGGCTCACCGTTGAGGACGCCATTCTCAATTATGGAAGACTTCTCGTCTTTTTGTTTCATGCGTCGTTGGGTTTGTGTTTTTCTATTGTTGGGAGAAAATGTTGCGTAATTTTGGTGTTATCCCGACTGTGTCGCATAGGTACGTAGCTGTTCTATGCTGCAAAGCTTGACTCACATTGTCAATTGCGAAATAGGTGGACCACCCCTCCCACTGTGCCCCTCCGTCATATGGGAAAAAAATTACTTAAACCTTGGAACACATGGGTCTGCCAATGGCCCCTCCAAGGTACGTACCTCAGTATGTCACCCAGGACATGTATTAGGTAAGCTAGAATCTTTCACCGCCTTCCTAAACAAATAAGGTTATCTAATCAGTAGTGGGGTTGCTATAGTACTGTACTTGAATCAACACTGTAAAACAAACTTTTTTATTTTATTCTATTTTCTATATATAATCTCACCTATCACACATTGCCCGTACTAAGAGATTTTCAAATTTCCAAGTTTCCTCCCCAGCATCTCATCACCTTCTTCCCATACCTAGCCCCTCTTAGTCGTTGTATTCCTACAGATCCCAGGCTGCCCGTATTCTGTACGGGTGCCGTACGCATAAACCCCAGCTCTTGTCACCAGCTGCCAGGATGAAGTACGTCTTGGTCAGTGGCGGTGTCATCAGTGGCATTGGAAAAGGTACAGCGGATTGATTTTTAGTCATGGTTTTTCTGATGTCGTATGTCGTTTATAGGGACGTTCTTTCGAAGTGGTTTGGTAGTTACGTATTTTTTCCCCCTACGACCACATCTTGACGTTGGAACAGTAAGTGCGTATTTACTAGGTTCTAGTCGCTAACTTGAATTTATACAGGCATAATAGGTATGTGTGATGACGAGAAGAGACCTGATCGTTTCTTCCTCAGCTCACTGACTTTTCACCCAAAGCATCTTCCTCTGGGCTTTTACTTAAGACGACTGGACTCAAAGTCACGGTACGAGAATATGTCTTCACCGATGGATTATGAGGTGCATATATTAATTGCATTGACTCCAGGCTATTAAGATTGACCCATACCTAAACGTGGATGCCGGCACGCTAGGTCCGCTCGAGTAGGTGAGATGTCTAAGGATGTACATCGGATGCAAAATTAACCTGGGCCATTTGTGTTAGGCATGGCGAATGCTTCGTCCTCAAGGTGACTCATCGCATTTGTCGAACCGGAACCTCACAACCATACTAATGAAAACCAGGATGGAGGTGAATCCGATCTTGATCTCGGAAACTACGAACGTTATCTCAACCTGAATCTCACGAACGAGAATAACATCACAACCGGCAAGATCTACAAGTTAGCTCCCTTGCCGTGCCCTATCTTGACCGGTGCTAACACGTAGGTCGGTAAAGAGCCGTGATCGAACGGGAACGGAAGGGCGATTACATTGGTCGTACCGTCCAGGTCGTGCCGCATATTACGGACGCCATCCAGGAGTGGATCCAGCGTGTAGCGAAGATACCCGTCGACGATAGTGGCGAAGAGCCTGATGTCTGTATTAGTACGTACACTTGATCTTCAGTTATTTTAGCCGCCGACTTACATTACCTTGATAGTTGAACTAGTATGTACCTGCACGCTACCTCTTACTGGATACCCCTATCGGCACTTTTCGAGAGTCCGCTGCGAATACATCTAACTGTTATTGGGTAGGGTGGTACGGTTGGCGACATCGAGAGCATGCCCTTCGTTGAGGCATTGACCCAATTCAGATACAAGGTTGGCAAAGGAAACCTTGTCAACATCCACGTGTCTTATGTGCCCATCATTCATGGAGAGGAGAAGACAAAACCTACGCAGCACGCTATCAAACAGATGCGAAGTGCAGGGTTGATACCAGACTTAGTCAGTAGCCCGGAAATCCATCGAGACCGATAGCTAATGCTTTTTATAGATTGCCTGTCGTTGTGAGCGTGCTCTTGATGAGGTTACGACCCAGAAGATAGCCCGGAGCTGTCAGGTTGAGTTCAAACAGGTTCTTACGGTTCGCGATATAGAAACGATTTATAGGGTTCCGCTTCTACTCGAGGACCAGGGACTACTTGAACGTCTACGCGAGGCCTTGATGCTAGACGAATTATCCCTCCCGCCGACTATGGTCAACAAAGGTGCACGCTTATGGCAACTATGGAAGAAGACCGTTGTTTCGAAGCCATATCTTGAGCCGGTAAACATTGCTTTGGTTGGAAAATACATAGCACTCCCTGATAGTAAGTCTACTCCTCACCTCACCGACCCTTATTGCGATAGATTCGATAGGCAGCAATTCCTCGGCTTGTCAGAGATCCCGTCTGCAGGGCTTGTTTACCACCCGCAAGAGATTTCTATAACAGTAGTGAATAACCTAGATTACCATAGGCTATCTCTCCGTAATCAAGGCCCTCGAACATTCGGCGATGCGATGCAACCGGAAACTGAACCTAGCTTGGATCGACGCGGAACATTTAGAAGATGCCACTTTACAGATCGATCCCACAACATACCATAAGGCTTGGTCTCAACTAACCATTGCCTCCGGATGTAAGTATTATCGACTCCTCGTTCCCCGTGTCCAATCAGAATCCTAGAGGCGGTTGGATTACTAGACGGCCATGAGTTGGAATGCAATTTTCGAGATGTGGCATGCGTTTTATTTCATTTTAAGCTTTTCCAATGTTATAGTGGCTAATTGTTGTTGAAGGCATCTGCCCGGGTGGGTTTGGTGGCAGAGGCGTTCCGGGCATGGTCAAGGCTGCGAAGTGGGCTCGGGAGTGCAAAATTCCTTACCTGGGCATATGCCTTGGAATGCAAGTCGCTGTTATCGAAGCCGCGCAAAATCTCTGTGGCTACAAGAACGCTACCTCGGAAGAGTTTGATGCTCAGGCTGAGCATCGCGTGATCATATTCATGCCAGAAGGGTCAAAAGAGATAATGGGCGGCACAATGCGCCTGGGCACGAAGACTACTTATTTCCAACCGGGGAGTGAGTGGAGTAAGCTCCGAGCGTTATACGGAGACGTCGACGAAATGGAGGAGCGGCACCGGCACCGCTACGAAGTTAACCCAGACTATGTGGAAGAGCTTGAGAAGGCCGGCCTAAATTTTATAGGAAAGGATGAAACAGGCAAGCGCATGGAGGTGGTTGAGTTGAAGGACCATCCTTTTTTTGTCGGGGTTCAGGCGCACCCCGAGTTTACTTCACGTGTTCTCGCTCCGTCGCCTACATATCTCGGTTTCGTAGCCGCCACTACAGGCTGCCTCGATGAGGTCATACAAGACATACGACAACAGAAGCACACTGGCAAGCTTGTCAACGGCGTAGACGAAAGCGTCCATTTCTGATGATGGGGTAAATTTTATAAAAGGGAAAGTCATTTTCAGGCGGTTGACGGGTTGGATTAGAACCGGGCATATATGCGACTCATCAGGCTAGGCTTGATCTTTATAGAGGGAGTCTGACTGGGGTTTGATGCGCGTCTTTGCCTACCAACCTTCTGGCTATGGAGATGGAATGGATAGGTAATAAAATGGGATATTTGGGTGATCGCCCATATTTTTAAACCCGTTACGTAATACTTAAGGAAATGCAATATTGGGTTAAACATGAAGCTCGGTTTATTAGCATAACCCCCACATGCAGCTCTATGAGGAACATAGCTAGACAGCTACCCGCGCTATATCCATATTACCTTTACCTTCCCCCCCCCCCCCAAAAAAAATCAATTTACACTTCAACTATAGAACGACGCCAGCGCATTCACATCCGGGGTCTCTCTATTTCGCCTGGTGCTATTGAGAAGTAGTGACTATATGCGCAATGTCTAGTAATAATAACGAAACTAGTGGGCCTACCCCCGTCGCTAATTCCTCTTTTTTCTTCTACAGAATGGCTAACCTACTTTTCTATCAATAGTCAACCTCGATAGTCTGAGTGCCCAGCAACTCAGCCAGGTGAAGAAGCAGCTGGACGAGGAACTCGAGCATCTAACGTCCTCTTTCGCCCAGCTACACGCCGCTCAAGCCAAGTTTCGAGACTGCCTGCGTTGCGTCCAAGACAAGAACAAGTCGCCTGCTCTTCGGGGTACGTCTACACTCCGTGCGACTTAACGCACTGGATAATCGGACTAGTGATCTAAAAAATAAATATATATATAGAGAACAAATCGATTCTCGTCCCGCTTACCAACTCTCTCTACGTGGGCGGAATTCTATCGAGCGCGTCCCATGTCGTAGTTGACATTGGCACCGGTTTCTACGTCGAAAAGGTGAAAATCACATGCTTTATGGTCGCGTAGGTTACGACGATGTTAACTTGGATATTTAGGAGGTCAAGTCGGCGGCAGACTTCTATGAAAACAAGGTGGGTGAGGTTGGGGCGAGCATCAAGGATCTCGAAACGATCGTGCAAGCAAAAACGAACAACGTCCGTGTTGTCGAGGAAGGTATTATTCATTCGCCTCTAGATGACTATTTGTAGTTGTTGATAGCTAATGCGATCGTTATTAGTTTTGAGGCAAAAAATGGTCGGCGGAACTCAGCAGACACCGCCACCGTAGAAGCCGAGGAGAAGTGGGCTCTAAGGTCAGCCTCGATAGCTATTAGGATCCCTACTAATAAGCCCCTGATACTAAGCTACCAATAAGTAGAACCATCTCTGGCAAATCTGTACCTAACACCTCGTGGTCTTAATTTCGCCTGGCCAGCTCTTGAAGATGGGGTCGAGGGTATTGCGAATATCCCTTATCACCCGTATGAAATTGTCAACCCTCTCGATGCCTCTAGACGCCGTGTGACCATTCCCGGCTTCAAGTAGATATTGGAGCTCGTCACCCCATATATTTCCTGCAGACTCGTCCTCGGAATCCCAATCCTGCCCATACACGCTCACTCCAACGTCGATAGTGGACGATTTTTCTGCTGTCATTGCAGAGATGCTACTCCATCGATGATTAACTGCCACCTCGACAACATATGACGTCTGCTTCCATCTAAAGCGATATAAGGTCTTTACTGCGACATCTTTGATCTTTGCAGCTACCGGGTTGATCGGCTCGAGTTTAACGCGTGGATAAACGTCAAGGTCATGGGGTCGGTCCACGTTCACCAGTTCGATGTTAGCTGTTTGTAGGTACTTGTCAACTTCCGGGAATGATTTTGCGCCCTTATCCTCGTTCACAGCCTCAAATTTCCAGTCAAGGTTTCTGGTACTGCCGTTAGATCACGTAAACCAACGGATGATATCTGTGTATGGACTTACCTTCCAAGGCTTAGGTTGGGAATGTCAAGCTCGGCAAAGTTAGCATCTGCCCCACGCGCTGTTGCGCGGTGCAGCTGACAGGAAGCTCTGCCTCTTGTATTTCCTCTAGTTCTTACCTTGATGCCCATGACAAACTTTGTCTGTTGCGAGCTCGCCTCGAAAGCGTATTCTGGCAAAACATCTGCCGGCGAGCCTAGCTCGCTTCCAGTAGAAAGAAATGGACCGTTCGTGTCGTTTCTAATAAAGTCCAATAATCTTCTAGCAAGAATTTCGTCGCCGATCCTAGTTGAGCGTTAGCTATTCCAAATAAGCCCATCAGCCTCAAATGTCTTAGCACTGACGTTGTCTTCAACCATGCGGAAGCACGGGGATTTCTTATCATGGCACAGAAGTCGCGGTATCCATAGACTTTCTTGCCTTGAGGGTAGGCTCGCAGCATACAAAAACCGAAGTGGACCCTTAATGTCAGCGATAAAGGGAGTCGACCGGCCTTCTTCAATCCGGCGCAGACACGATCGTTCAGCTTCGTCACATATTCATGAAAGTTCCCAGCGACTTCTACGCCATCAGCGGCTCCTTGCCCTGGCTGCAACTTTGGTCGTACTTCCCCCGATTCGATATTGATATCTAGAACGACTTGTGAAGCGCTGCTGATTCTGGCCGGAGGCTCCTGAAAAACGCCCGGTCCTCGAGTGGATTCGTCGGAGATTAATTCACTTGCCACGTCCTGGGCTGCGCTAATTACTTCTGCGATGTTCTTTGAAGGTGCAATGATGCGCAGGTAAGAGCCTTCTTGCGTCTTACGAATTTCGAGCCCGTGGCCGCCATTTGCCCGGGTTAGTTCCTTATGAACAGCCTCGGTCACTCCGGAAGCTAACTCAGGAGTATGTGAGATGATGAAGTTGGCCTAGGAAGTTAGAAAAAGGGCAAAGGCACATTAGCTAATATCCTTCGGTATCACCATCGACCGGGGTACAATACCTGGGCTTGTTCGCTACTACGGATACTGGTATCTGTGGCTGTTACTGTGTCTCGTAGGATTTGGATGGGATCTGGCTCTGGAAGACTCAATGGTGCCGGCAAGCCAGACATTTCGGGACCATTCTCGGTTGAACGGCAGGGCGCATAACCCATAGACGTGGTAGCAGCGAGAATAGGACGGTCCCGAAGTACAGGCTCATCATTGTCAGCCCCCACGGGAAGAAGATCCAAGGAAGGCTTGGTCTTGCTATTGCCGGTGAGGTGCTTGTCTTTCGACGAATGAGAGTCACTGGAAATGTAGTGAGCTATAGGTTAATTTAATAGAAGGGACGAAAGGAACGTACACGTCTATTGGTGATCCCATGATGCTAGGATTATTAGGCAGGCAGTGGTTTCTGGTGATTGGGTATTAGTCTGTTTGATGGATGAGGATGGATTGTTATGATTTGAAGTGAGAGAGGAAAAGATGGTAAGAAGGAGAAAAGAAAGAAAGAAAGAAAGCTTGTAGCTTTTATTAATACGTAGCGGTTATGATGTCTTATTCATCTAGTGTTTGTATTTCGTTTACCTAGGTAGGCATTTGTGAAGAGGGATAGAGTAATAACTCAAGCCTTAAGTAGTAAGGACATTTCATGCTCACAGTTAGAATTAAAAAAAAGTCTATTTCTATGTCTAATTTCTCGAGTCTGTCTATATATAGCAGTACAAATACCTTGTATCAAGTAGATACTGTTAGCAACTACTAGGTATGTCCATACAGCGTACTAATGTCATCCATAAGTATATAGCAACTGCCTTTCTTTACTGCTTTCGACGGCCCAATCAAGCAGGGGTAAATGTAAAATGGATACCGTTTAAGTAACTTAAATTGATTGAGTCGCGCACGTGACCTCGCGAAATTCCACAACGCGCATATTTCACATCCATGAATCCCACACGTGTCGGTGCTATCTCTTTTACCTACATAATAGATAGATACCCACTAAGAAACGTCATCCTTTCCTCGTTTCTTGTACTGTTTTCTCTTCCCATTACTTGTGAGCATAGCTGAGCGAATGAAATAAAAAGAAGAGAAGAGAAACGAAACTCGGGTTCTGCACCATTTAAAATTATCCGTTCAGCTGTCTTCTATTTCTCTCCAACTGGTAATCCCCGATGGGCCGTCGCTCTTCAACCGCAGTCACTGGGGTTGCTCGAGATGATTCAGACGATGAACTTGGCATCGACGACCACCCTTGGGAATGGATTTACCAACAAAGCCAAAGTTCTGTCTCGGCAACTAAGAAGAAGAGAAATGACCAACACGACATCATCGGCGCCCGCATGGGGACGTTTGAATGCTATGTCGGCGATTGTGTTCTGTTGAAAGCGGAGGGTTCGAATGAGGCATGGGTAGCCATCGTTGCCGGGTTCCGCGAAGCCGATGATGATGGGGACAAGGCCGCTGATTTCCTGTGGTTTTCCACCGAGAAGGAGATCCGGAATAGTGACCGAAAAAGAAAGGACTTCCTCCCGGTTGGTTCTTGACGCGCTCCTTCGTAAGGTTCACATATCTTACTAATTAACTCGAGATTAGAACGAGCTTTATATTACACCATCTTCTGATGTGAACCCCTTAGCTTCCATCAATGGCAGGGCTGTGGTCATGTCCCAGCAAGAGTTTCTCCGGAAATACCCTAACGGCAAGGTCCCCCGTAACTCACCGGGCTACAACAAGACTTTCGTCTGCAGGAGAGGATGCAACACGAGGACTTCAACGTACACAGACGAATTCGTCTGGGAAGACGTCTATTCTGGCAAAGAGGATATAGGCGTCTTGCTAGAATTGGTGCAGAGCAAGACGAGGTCGACAAGGAAGCGCAACCACAATGCGTCTCTAGAAGCCGACTATGTTGTCACTCGGCCAGAACAGGATGATGATTATCATTCTGATGATGCCGTTCGCCGAACAGTGACCACGCCAAGGAAACGACAAAAAACAACACGGGTAGTGACGCCTTCCAACCGTCGGTACGTATTTGCCTCGCTGGCCCTGCTCCTCAAAACTGTGACGTGATCTCTCCAGTACAACCAATCCACTGACTTCAAACGCCAGGGTTGTGGTGAAAAAGGCATTGGAATTCACCCCACTTGCCACCCGTACCCTTTCACCGAGTTATCATCAGTCGTCCCCCTTTCAAATCGCAAGGGCCCAACTGCACGTTGCCTCAGTACCTAGTAGTCTACCTTGTCGGGAGTCTGAGTTCTCGTTGGTGTACTCACATCTCGAGGCTGCTATTACCGACGGGTCTGGCGCGTGTATTTACATATCTGGTACGCCGGGAACTGGGAAGACAGCTACTGTACGAGAAGTGGTGTCAAAACTAGACGAAGCAGTGCGATCCGACGAGCTCGACGACTTCATCTTCGTCGAAATCAATGGCATGAAGATAACTGACCCGCACCAGTCGTATGCCATGCTCTGGGAAGCCCTGAAGGGACAACGCGTTAGCCCAAGCCAGGCGCTAGACCTCTTGGAGCGCGAGTTCAACAACCCGAGCCCTCGCCGAGTGCCTTGCGTCGTCTTGATGGATGAGCTAGATCAGCTCGTCACCAAGAACCAGAGCGTCATGTATAACTTCTTCAACTGGCCGGGATTAAGACATTCCCGGCTGATTGTGCTTGCCGTGGCTAATACGATGGATCTTCCGGAGAGAACACTCAGCAATAAAATCAGCAGTCGCCTAGGACTGACCCGGATCACCTTTCCAGGTTACAATCACGAGCAGTTGATGAAGATAATCCAGTCGCGGCTTGAAGGAGTGCCGGGGAACATCGTCGAACCGGACGCCGTCCAATTTGCCAGCCGAAAGGTCGCCGCTGTAAGTGGCGACGCGCGACGCGCTCTCGACATTTGCCGACGAGCGGTGGAGCTAGCCGAAGCCGAAATCAGGTCCACGGAAGCCGACCCAGCGACGCCGAGCAAGAGAGCAAGGGCAAAAGCGAGCGAAGCTGAGAAAATGAAAAATTCCAAGGGCAAGGTCACTATCTCGACAGTCAAGCGAGCGATCAACGAGGCGACCTCGAGTCCATTGCAGCAATACTTGCGCGCCCTTCCGTTCGCCTCCAAGCTAGTGCTCACGTCCCTACTTGTGAGGAACGAACGGACGGGTCTGCCCGACAGCACCTACGGCGACGTGATGGAGGAGATGAACCGGGCTCTCGTCATCGACGCCGGGAGCCGGCGCGTTAACTTGCTTAAACGCACGGCGGAGAGGGATTCCAGGATGGACGTCACTACGCGAAGGGGAGAAGCAAGGCTTGTAAGGCCAGCAGGGATTAGCGCTGCTGCCGTAGACTTGACTGGTGCCGGCATTATCATACTGGAAGGCCAGAGGGCCGAGCGGCCAAGCAAGATTCGGCTTGCCGTGGGTGACGAGGAGATTAAACTTGCATTCCGAGATGACCCCGAAATTAGGGCGTTGGGTATAACATTCTAGTTCATAATTTATAATACCAAAGTCAAGATTCATGACGTGAATATTTCCTATTTGTCCACTCGTTCACTGACCCTCGCCCGCAGCGAGTGATGTTCAGACCAAAGCTCCTCCACTTTTAAGTGCTTGCAATGTACATTAAAATAGGAACGTCTTTCTAATACTTTCTTCTTCCTAAAGTCGGCTTCCACTCGAGGGGGTGAGTTTCGGGCGTTGCCTTTTCATCCTGTTTCCACACCTTGATTGTCTTGTCTCCTTCGCCGACAATGAGTCTTAGGCCTGTGCGGTCGAAGGTAGAACTATAAATTGCAGACTCAGAGTTCAGCGATCCGGGCTGGGCGATGGTATCCATAGCCTGAAATCGATGCCCCGACTTCCAGTCCCAAAAGCTCATGGACCCATCTTGTCCCCCGGAGAATAAGACGTCCTCGTTGACAGATAAAGAATTAATTATCGCATTATGGCCTTCGAAGTTGCCCATGAAAGCGCCCTCTGGGCACTTCCACTGCTTGATGCTACTGTTGCTTCCGGTGGCGAATGTGAACTCGGTAGGGTGTATGGCGAGACCGCGAACGCCGGCTTTGTGGTGAGTAAGCACACCCATCGTCTTGCCGGCGGCGAGGTCCCATAACCGGACAGTATGGTCTTCTGATGCGCTGATGACTTGTGGGTCGGCCTCCTGACATTGAACGTTGGTGACAGACCGGGTATGGCCAGATAAGACATGGATATTACTGCGAGTGCGCATATCCCAGACCCTAGAGGCACCATCTCTTCCGCCTGTGACGAGGACGTCTAGAGTAGGATGAAGCGACAAACTACTTACCCCACTAAGATGTCCGTGGTAATGCCTGATGACCTTGTTCGTTTCCAGGTCCCAGCACTTGACCATCTTATCCTCGCCGCAGGAGAAGAGGTAGGGGTGGCGAGGGGACACTGCCAGACCGCGCACGGCGGCTATGTGACCGGTCAGGGTGATTCTAAGGCGTCCCGTCGCAAGGTCCCAGACTTTGATTGTTCGGTCACCGGCGCCGCTAGCGAACCATTGGTTGTGTGGTTCGACAGCAAGACTTCGAACCCAGCCTAAGTGGCCTGAGATGACTCTCATAAGCTTCCAAGGCGGATGCCAGTCGGGCTTGACTTGATGAGTGACCTGAGCGCGGGCGACGTTTAAGGATTCGGATGTGGTATTTGATGACTGCGAGGAGGTCGCGGGAGGCTTGCGTAGATGGACGAGGGCATTGGAGTTAGGTCGAGGCTTGTCCGAGTTGCTCGAGGATTCAGCGATACCTTCAATCAGCTTCATGGTCTTCTGATCCTCAGATGCGGCAGGAGGTTGACTCGAAGCCGGCTTCTTCCCCTTCTTCCTGGCGCTCATAGCGCTTGCTTGTTTTTGGGCAAGAGCAGGCGGTAGGTCTTTGACATGTTGGTATTCGGCGTGGAAGCGAATAGAAAGAGCATCTTTCTCGCGTTGTGGTTCAGTCGCGTCGACGGTTAACCTGACTTTCTTTCGCGCCGACTCACCAGACGGATCTGCGAAGAGTGATTTCGATCGTCTGGAATTGTCAAGTACGAGGCTTTCTAGATTCGGACGCGCAACTTCCATTGTCGTGCTGGGTTCTATTGCGCAGCCAGAATGAGGACGTGGCAAAGGTTAAGAAATTCGGAGATTCAGAAATTTGGAAATTTGGAAATTTACATACAATGAGACCTTAGCTGTGTACAATGTACGGTAGTAGGTACTAATGTACTCACTAGGTTTAGCTTCCAATCAAGTCTAGTGGATTGACAGAGCTAACCTCTAGCGGCAAACTCTAGTGACCCCACCCCATTGATTGAATATAGGTAGGTATTGAATATATTGCTCCATACGTAGTACAGTATGTAGGTTAAGTACCTATAATAGTATATATCATCATCTTAGACACACGTGCAATTAGATATCCATATTCAACCACTTTTACCTATTATCATAGTACTTGAAAATATTAGTTATCTATCCAGTTTTATTCGTACAACCAGGGACTTGGAATACAAGAGCAGGGACAAGTACCTTCGAGGTGATAACTCATATAATTTCCTTCTTAACTAGGTATTGTATATGTAACGCTTCATACTCACGGCTCTTGTGTAGGCAGGCAACATGTCATCCGACCAGTCAAAATATGCTATACATGCTGCTGCTCGGGAAGGTAAAGGTAAACGGGCCTCCCATACTCCTACCCTTTTGCTTGAGAACCCCACCGGCTGATCGCTTCCATCTGCTCGCAGTTACTGTTGTCGAATCATTACTTAATGTAAGCTCGTGAAGGCATCCTGTTTCTTACGGGTTTTCACGTAGCTCAGTGTGTTTGTAGGCAGATCCGAAACTATCTCGTCTTAAAGACGACGACGGTCGTCTTCCTATCCATTGGGCCGCATCTGCGAACAGTCACCCCATCGTCTTGATGTTAACTCAACAGAAAGAATTCGACCCAGACGTTGAGGTAATAACACCACTTATGCAATATACCATCACCTTTCAGTGGCTAACAATCTTCAAGGACGACAGTGGCTGGACTCCTCTGATGATTGCCGCGAGTGTGAAGGACGGCGACGCAATCGTAGAGCTGTTGCTGTCGAGAGGCGCAGATGTGAATCAGAAGAGTGAGGCCTGTTGCTTATAGTCCAACCGGCGTCATGACAAGGCTAACCGCGAGTATGTAGACAATAATGGACAGGTGCGTCGTCAAGCAGAAGCTGGATTAGATAAAATTCCGAGTCTGGACAGGTAGCTGACGATAGTATAGACGGCTCTTCACTTCGTTGCCTCCAAAAACAACCTCGAAGTGGCCCGCAAGCTTTTAGACAATAAACCACCGGCATCCACCCGGGTAAGGGACAAGCGTGGTCAATACCCCCTCCACCGAGCCGCGGCAGTAGGCTCTGTGGCTATGGTCAACCTGCTGCTGCAGAATCGAAGTCCGCTTAACGCGACTGACAGCGCCGGCTATACTGCCCTACACCACGCCGTTGCTGAAGGCCACGGTTGGTCTCCCTCTTCAAAACCACATCGACTTACAAAAAAAGTTGAGTAACTGACAACACCAGGAGCCACCGCGGTGGCCTTACTTAAGGCTGGAGCCGAGATCGACAAGCGAGACCTGGACGGATATCTCGCACTAGATCTTGCGCCCGATAAGGAAGTTCGCAAGTATATCGAGCGGGAGGCTGAAAACGAGGGGATTGAGCTGTGAAAGGGCATTACAGGGTTCGACCATTGTCATCGACTGTATGTGCTACTCATGATAATATTGCTTCATGCCTATACCCAAAAATAGGCTTAGGTAACAAAAGGCATAGCCGAGCCGTTTGCTCGTCCTTATTTAATCGTGCGTTCTACGAGATCCCTATACATGGCTTTGACATCGACCACGTCTGCACGCAATTCTTCCACCAGCTCGCTCTTTTCTCCGAGCATCTCGAGCGTAGTTTGATATCTTTCGTTCATCTCTGCCACCTCCTTCTCTAATTCCTCAACCCTTTTCCTTGCTCCCTTCCCAGCCTCAACCTCCTTCATTAGAACGACTATCTCCCCGCGAGCTTCGTCCCGCTGGCTCGAAATCCTAGCAAGCTCCTCCTTGGCTGCTACCTTTTCGCTCTCCAAACGACGAACTACGGCGCTCATCCTTTCAACGAGCTGCACTGATGGCCCCGCTGTCATGGTCGAGACTGATACCATATCTTGTAGCACGTTCTGGGGAGAGGCCGGAGTTTCGGAATTGTCGAAGACGTCGTCCCTATCGATGGGATGCGACGAGGGAGATGCTAACATCTCCAACCCGCCCGAGAGGGATGGCGGCGTTCCTGACTGCACCGACGTCACGGGAAACATGGGTGAGCGGATGGGAGGCTGCGCTGACGGCCGCCTGGCGGACGACGGTCGATCGCCAGGACTCGGCTCACCGTTACTAGAGGGCGCCGAGGTCTTGCGAAGTCTTGTCGGGTAGCTCTGCAGCCCGAGGAACTCGCCGCTGAAAGTTCTTTGCGGCGCGGTCAGCAGAGGAGATTCTGGACGGCTAATGCTGCGAAAGGCTGCGGTTGGGACATCCTCTAGCCAGTTCCGCCGGTCCTGATCCGTCCGTTCAGCCTTTTCTTCTTTCCAAGCCAACCGCTGTCGTTCGAAATCGGATCTTGCTTCAGCCAACGAAGTCTCAGCCTCCTCGGCTCGCCTGCGCAATGATTCAAGTTGAGATTGGTATGAGGACAAATCTTGTTGGACGCTGGGAAGTTGACTCCTCGCTTCCTCCAACTCTTCCTCTTGACGTTTGGCTCGGGAAGCCTGGTTTCGGTAATTAGTCTTTGTTCTTGCTTCAGGGAATGCTCGTTGCCTACCGTCTCCCGGGCTTTCCGCCTCATGTCTGATTCGCGACGCAGCGCTTCGTCCCTCTCCTTCTCCAACGCCGCGGTTTTCGCAATCAGGGATGCTTCGATACCCTGCCAGTTCTCGCTGGCGATGGAATATTGTGTTTGGAGAGTTTCTATCTGGCGGAGTAGTTTTGCTTGCGCATCGCCCACGGCGCCTGACGATGCTTCTTCCGCCCGGATTCGAAGGGCTTCTAATTTGCTTTCGAGAATCTGAACTTCCCCCTTAAGCTCTAGCTCCACGGCGCGAGAACGCTCCGCGGCCCTATCAGCCTTTTCTTGTAGCTCTGTTGCTTGTATCTTGGCGCGGTCGGCTACCAGGCCTTTCTCTACCTCCAGCGCCGCTACCGCGTCCTCTAGCTCTTTCACGCGCTGTTCTCCCGCCTGTCGTAGCTGATCGTTTATCTTAGCAGCCAGATTTTTAGCCTGGTCTGATTCTTCTCGGAGTCGATCCTTAAGCTCAGATATCGTGTTGTCTCTTGAGGTGATCTCGGCTCTTAGTCTTTCTAAGTCTCTCTTAAGTTGGCTTATTTGCTTCTGAGATTCCGTGTTTGCCTTCTCGACATCGCCCTGTTCGTTTACTTTCTTCCGTAGTGCACTAAGCTCATTCTCCGCCTTTTGACGCCAGAGCTTCTGTTCGTTGAGCTCCCTTTCGCCCAACGCAAGCTGACCCCTTAGTTTCTTGATGATGCTTCGGTGTTTCTGCTCTGTATTTGCCAATTTTTGCCCTTCCTCCATTAACTGGGCGATTTGCTGGTCCTTCTCGGCAATGATTTTCTCCTCGCTCCCAGCCGGTGCAGCGGTGGCGGCATTTCTCGCTGCCTCCGACGCTTGTCGGGCTAGATATTGCAGTTTAGCTTGTAGAGCGTCAACCCTTTCCACATGGTTATGAAGCTCCTCCTGATGTTGTACATGAGTCTCTTCTAGAGATTTCTCAAGATTTGCAATGCGCTGTTCATATAATGTCGTCGACGACGAAGCGGTTTCAGTCTCTAAATGGCTAGTAGAAGTCACTGCGTCAGGCTCAAACGCAGGCGTCTGGGATCTTTCAACGTCAACATCGCGATCGACTTGTCCATTAGCGGGTACGGCGGATGTCTGCTCCGAAGTAGATTCTTGGCTCGGTGTATCATCCTTTGAGACCTCCACCCTTTCAGCGCTTGTTCTGGAGGGAATGTCAGAGCTAGCACGGGGACTTTGAGTTGGTGAGACGATTTCGGTACTCGGTCTGGCAGGCGAAGAACCGGACCTTTGAGCGGCATTCTTGGCGGCAACGGCTCGAGCTAAGCGTTCCTGTAATCTATCATTGGTAGATCTGGAGGGCGTAGTAGACCGGGGTGGTATGTTCGCGCTGGAAGGGGTCGTAGAGGAAGCGGACGACGGTCTTGTGGGTCTTTGCGATGCGGACTGCTTCGCAGAATCTTCCTCGGCGAGGATATTGTCAAGCCTCGCCTCGACGCCAGCGACGGCCTGGGACAAGAAGGAGCCCCATCTGGATGACTTCTGGGGAGTTGACATATCTGAGGCTCTGGAGCCCACAAGGTATGACGGTGTGACTGGAGATACGACGATCTTTGATCTTGAGTAAGTGATTATATCGCATGTAATTCGGTCGTTTGGGATTTCGGAAGATGGAGTCGGCGCATCGTATGGGGGTTTATCTTTGCATTTGCGCCTCGCTGCTGTTTAATAAGAGAACGACTGGATCGATCGTGTTGGTTTTCCTGGTCGCAGAAAAGCTGCAAGTAATTTAGATACTACCATACAAGAGTTAATATGGCAACATTCCCTTCGCACACTGAAGACTTCTGATTCTCACTAGTGGAGCGTGGCAGTTATGAATTAGAATAATTACCATGAGAAATGTCAGGTTAGCATAGCCAACGATGAGAGAACGATCACCTTGAGGCTTCGTCGTCAATAAAGCATGTACGAGGTGCGTCAAGTACGTGCATGTAAGGCTCAGCTAAATTCGTACATATCTACATGGCATGTATATTATAGTAACGCTAAATTAGACATTAAACTTGAAGCACACATCGAGTAAGAGGAATATCGAGTATCCCTGTTACTTGAATAATCTATAAATTTATTTATATTATAGTACCTGGGCTTATGTACCTATCCATGCATACAGTACTGTTATACAGATACCTCATATGATGTGAGACTTCAGTACCTGATATATGCATAGGTAGGTACGTACGGATATGCATATGTCTTAATTCCATTACATGATTACGTCAGTAGCTAGGTGCGTACCCTATGGAACTACCTAAATCAACTTAGGTTTAGATACTTACTAGGTAGGCACGATTTGACGCTACCTTGCCTTCCTACCGGAGTGCCGGAAACATCCATGGATACTTTTAACGGCTTACACAGATACTTGCACACTTCGATGTTGCCATGTTTCTCTTTCCTTCTCCCCAACCGCTTCTCCTTAGATCATCTAGCTGGGGATAGACTCGTGAAATCCCCCGTATTTCGTCCCTGAAGTCTCTCAGGTAATAAATCCGTTCCCGCCCCCCCATTGCCTAGATACCTCGAAATCATGTCCGTGCAGAGCCTCTTAGAAGCCTTGAGCTTCCCTTATCACGAGCCTCGGCATGGCTTCTGGGGCGACAAAACATCTACCTTGAACTTTTGCGAAGAGGTAAGTAGACGCACGCCTATATATCGAGTAACATTGTATGAGGCTAAATACCAAATTCAGGACTATGTCATGAGTTATTACTGTGCTGAAGTCTGTAACGTAGGCTGCCCAGGTTTCCTTTTTTTTTCTACAGAACCTCACCTCCCCACTTCGCTCTCAACTTGGGTCATGGATGGGAATTATTCGCACATTTCCATTTTTCACTTTTTACATGGGAGAAGTATCCAAAGGCTAATGCGTTGTGTACGACTTTGCTTGTAGACTCTTACCAATGCCCTTTTCATATGGCTAGGCTATAAGGGCATCCGAGGTTGCATCAAATATTCACATCCTCCCATTTTCTTCGTGACTTTCGTCGGATACATTGTGGTTGGCCTAGGGTCTACCCTTTTCCACGCCTCTCTCAAGTGTAAGCCTATGCGCCACTGACCATGCCGTATCCAACGTTATTTGGTGCAGGCCATGCCCCCGAAGTCTCTCAAGACCGTTTCCGCCTAACTTTCGGCAGATCCAATGCAACTCGTCGACGAACTGGCCATGATCTATACGACCTTCTTCATGTGTTTTGCCACGTTTTCGTATGCTAGGTCTACTCAGTTCTCATTTTGTCTCGGTGCCGGCCTCATTAGCCTCGCATGGCTCATTACAGTTCGCCTTGCCCCTTGCCATCATCTGAGCCACTTCCGGGAGTGCTGACGGTGAACGTTAGGCAAGATATTATAAAACAAAAGATCCCGTATTTCACCAGAACGCTTATGCAGTTTTGACCGCTATTGTGGTATTCTCTAACATGTGGATTATGGAGCGAGTGCTCCGACCGGCTCTGAGGATGAGGGAAGAGAGTAGACGAGAAAGCCGCGCCCCGAGCAGCCCGAGGCTACCGACGACCAATGAGATGGTGAAACAGATGTGGGTCATGGTTGCGACAGGTAAGCAACCATTATCGGCTTGATTGCTACTTGACTGGTATTTGTGTATGTTGACAAGTCCCGGGATTATCTACAGGTCTGAGCATATTCCTCGGTGGTTACCTTATCTGGAATTTGGATAATATCTACTGCAGCACTGTTCGAGAATGGCGACATCGTCTCCGGCTCCCCTGGGCTATTGTACTTGAAGGACATGCTTGGTGGCACCTAAGTACGTTCCCTCTTCACTTTGTTTGTTTGGTTTGGTTTGTTTTTGATGAGAAGACAATTGCTGATGTCAAATGTGTTTTGTAGTGACCGGAATAGGTGGTAAGTTGATGTCCCTCTGTCCCTCTCTGGCACTCATGAGGCTGGGTGAGTATAGATTGTAATTCCGTATTGACTAACACGGCGGCTATGCTAGCGTACTATTACATAATATGGCGCATATGGATTCATCGTATCCTAGACGGCGAGGAGGATAAGTTTCGCCTTTACTGGCCGTCGTTCTTTAGAATGCCAGACGTGATCCCCATAGAAGACACCTTAGACAAGAAGAGGGAATAGAAAACTAGTCGAGGATGTGTATCACCGTACTCACCCACATTTTCAGAGGAGCCGTACGCAAAAGCACCTCGGAAACGGTGCCTCTTTTCAATTGATAGACAGCGTTCTCATTAAAGTCCATAGAAGCTACACTAGATGTCAGTATAGAAGCTCCGTTACAGCGAATTGATCATATTAATAGAAGCACTTTAGTACAGAGGCGCTAGGGTCCTAGGAACGCTAGCTCGCAAGCGCGGTTTCATTGAACTGTAACAGAAGGTTCCATTAAACATTCCCACATGAAAGGTTGTCACAAAGTACACGTACAATGATTGGGTAGATCCCTACGTGCGGGGTGCCCCACCACCGGACCGGACTCTGACGTCTGATCTAAATCTCTTACGTTCCGCCTCAAGTCACATGTGTGCATAAATATTTCCGGTACAGCGAAGGCATCAACATCGCCTGCATATTCGGGACACACCGAAGGAAAAGGAGAACGACCAAACCAAGGAACGATGTCGATTTCTAACGAAGCCCTGCAAAAGGTATGCTATTAAACGTACTTTTCGCACATGCATAAGCTAGAGCCGCTTACAAAGTTTCTACCATTTTAGTTGCTGCGGGAGGTTGAGACGCAAGCAATTGCCGCGCAACAACAAATCTCTCTCGTCCGGACCCAGCAAGCTTCCAAGCAACGTGAGTTGCGCATGGCGCAATTAACGCGCACAGAGGTCTCTGCACTCCCTCCAGACACCAACGTCTACGAGGGGGTTGGCAAGATGTCGGTAGCCCCTAACCCCTTACTAACCCCTATTTCATCCCAACTAAAAGGAATCGCTAGGTTTGTCGCCTTACCCGTCTCCAGCATGAAGAGTAAGCTGGAAGCCCAGATCAAGGAAGCTGAGGGAGAGGTAGACGGATTAGGGAAGCGGCTGCACTACCTAGAGGTTTCGCAGAAGAACAGCAAGGACCAAATCGATCGCATGCTTAGGGGTGGCGTGGGTGCTTCCTAGCTGGTCTCTCCTTCGGGGAGAGGGGAAAGAGAAGAAGCTTGCTACAGGTCCACCGCCGTCCATCGATATCATGACACGATTCGATGGCGCTACAAATGCTGCGTAACCACTACTCCAAGAACCAAACAACTACGATCCGCTCACCGGATAGTTTTTTAGGCAACCTTTCCCGCTCACGCTACGATGACGCTTGCTTATCTGTAGTATGGGATTGCAATGATGAATATGAGGCTATCTGTGAAACACGGTACCCGCCAGCACGTGAGAAAGAAGCGGGATATCGAGGTCTCGTCAACACGCCCGTTTAGTTCGTATGAGTATTTGATTCTAAGTATAGACATACTTAATTATCCAGACATCATCATATTTTCCATGTCTTAATTGACTTAGTAATTTGAACGACTCATTACTAAAACTGTCAAGGTGGAAAGCCCCGTAAAGGCTCGAGTAATAGCTGATAGTATGCTATACATATATACGTACAATACCTTTCATAAGAACCTTCTAAAGGTACAATGACCTACCAGGTGTACAGCCCTAAAACATACATGCATCTATTAATAGGGATGGATCCATTACCTAGGTACATCGTAGTACATACGTACCGAATGAAACCAGTCAATGTTCCATGATAATAAACGGTACATGCATATGTATCTAGGTACATAATGTGTGTACCTACCTATGTAAGTACTTAATGTGGACCAGTCCCTCTTTTCTTATAACCCCACTTTCAGCCCTCGAGCATGGATGGGATTGTAAAAAAGAAGAGGAAAAAAAACATCTCATTAGCTAGTTCACGAACATCCCACCTATTAACGAATGACCGTCAATTGTTTTTGGCCCCCAAGATGAACTGGGTATCGGGTGTTGGTACTTAGCTCATGACAGCACAACTACCTACTCGCGACTATTGACGAGGTACCCTTTTCTAAGTCTGTGATAGGACACGACATCTTTTCCAAGTACCTCCGCGGCCTATGAGAGACCCTAACTGGACCTCCCTATACCGGGAAGCATAGCATCTATACTAACAGGGTGAGGTTAGAAACGACATCTACTCTGCATTTTTTTAGGTATCCCTCGTTTCGCAGGAAGAGTATCTACGGCAGAGGGGCTCTTAGGACCGGCGCCAAATGTGACCTAATATAGTATATAAGGTACCTAAGTAGATATGGGATCCCTACTTATTATCGACTATCCAGCATGATAAATCGAGACGCTCTCCCCCGCCTTCATGCGTGGATGTAAGCACGGCTGGCTTCGCTGACTCCCAATTCTGCAATTTGCCTCCCTCATTTTCTTTCTCTCCCTCCCCTTCCGCCTCTCCCATCCTCTTCCACCCTCTCACCGAATTTCCCATACTTGCCGTATACTTGCCATTTACTACCCACCTAGGTAGTTTATTTGATTCCTTCTCGAGCGTAACGTTCAGTACTCTTCACATAAAATCGAACTAGAGAATAATCAGTACATTGCTCCGTCTTCGCCTGCCATATCCTCACCGCGGACCCAAGACGCTAAGATGAGTAGATACGATTCTTATTCCGATGATGAGGATCTCGACATTCGCGTCAGGCATCGGCGTGCCTCTCCTAACCCACCTCCTCTTGCGCATTATGTAGACGCCCGCTCTCCTCGTCCTCGTTACTACGAGACCGGCCCCCGTGCAGAGGACCGTTTTCTGGTGCCAACGAATGAGCGCACCATTGTGACAACCCGACGATCGCACTCACGCGATCGTCGTGACCCTTCGCCGGGAGTTAGCGCGCCTAATCCCCCGGTCATCATCAACAACCGTATTTATAACAACTCTGACTCCGAGTCCATATCCGATTCAGACTCGGAGCGCGAGACGAAGAGGTCTCGATCTCGCCGCCGTGCTCATTCGCGGGCCCATTCGCGTACCTCTTCGACCTACTCCCATGAACATGACCATGACCGGTATGCACTAGAGCACGTGCGCCGGGATTATGAGAAGGAGATCGAGGCTAAGCGCAGGGATTACGAGAAGGACCTCGAAAACAAACGGCATGAGTATGAGCTAGAGCATACCCGGAAAGAACTCCAAGAGCTCAAGCTGGCCGCCCAGATCGAGCAGGATGAGAAGCGCCGGAACCGCACTATCCAAGAAGAGCGCGACTTGCGGGAGGCTAAGAAGGAGCTCGACGAAATCAGGAAAGCTAAAGAGCGCGATGAGTATGAACGCCGCGTTAAGCAGAAGCTCGAACTCCAGCGGTTGAAGGAAGAAGAGGCTGCACTAGAAGAGAAGAAGCGTCGCGACAAAGAAGCTAGGGAGGCCATCGAGAAATATAAGAAAGAAGAGGCCGAGCGTAGGCTCAGGGAAAAGCAGGAGGCCGAGGCTCGCGAGAAAGAATACAAGGCCAAAATGCAAGAGCAGTTGCTAAAGTCCGGCCTTAGCGAGAGAGAGATCAATGCTATTCTCGCTGGCGAAAAGATTAAGAGGGAAAAGGAGAAGGAAAAGGAGAAGGAAAAGGAGAAGGAGAAGGAGAAGGAAAAGGTGAAGGAGATAGAGGAGGCACCTCGCCCCATCTACACGCGCCTGGCGAGACGACACCTCTCGATCGAGACCCTAAGGGCTTATAATATCGATTTTCAACTTGACCCCGTAAGTCAATACCATCTCATGTCCGTCAGTACTTTCTCTAACCTTGCAATGTAGGATCCAGATTATATCCTGGTCAAGAGGTGGGTAGATGAGCCAGAGCAAGATATGCTCTGGAGGCATACCAAGATCATTCGCGAGAAGCGGGCCTCCGGGTCTGGCAAGCTCATTAGTAAGTATATTCCATATATATACCCTTCTACGCCCTTTTCTTCTTATTTTTTTTTTTCGTTTCATTCTTAGGACTTGATAATCCCAAGGGCAAAAGGAGGGAGGGATTAACTAAAGACTGGTTCGCCCTTAGTACATATTTTCACACCCCAAGCCCACTCTTCAAATATTCCGATGGGCAAATGCTAATACTGGATTCTGTAGTGTCCATTGAAGAGAAGGATAGGAGAAAGCACCATCACCATCTCGAGCCCGAATTTGAATGGGTCCGTAAGAAGGAGCGTCGACGGAGCCGATCTCCTTCTTTATTGATGTATTTGGCCGGAGGGAGGCCGTCATAGTGCGGTGGTTTCTTTTCTAAATAATTTTCTTTCGCACGGATAGGGATCACCGCTGCAATTCGTAGTTGACGAACAGACTTATGCCATTTTCCTATTCCTAGGACGATAAGAATCAGATGATCACAAGCAAGAATACCCGTCCTATAGAGCGGTCTGCTTCGGGATCATCAATTGGTAAGGCTTGTGAGCGGGGAGTTATTTTGACTGGGGATTCGGATTGGAATATTATACATGTCCCTTCGTATTTCTTCGATGCAGTGTACTCTCTGCTCTTCGAATCAATTCTTCGTACACCATCCAAGCTAATGCGGAGCTCATCGCCTTGCGTGCCATTCGTAGAGTGAGTCCGTCGTAGAGAGAGCGCATGCCTTCTTCCGTAACCATCTTGCGGCAGGCTTGAATCATGTTTCGGTACTCGCGTGGCTGTAGTTGTATGCGCGTCTTCACGGCGTCGAACGGGTTCGAGATGAAGGAACACGTTGCGCCGGCAAGCGCTCCGGAGCTAAAGTTTATGGTGGCCGATAACGAGCCCCCCATGCCAGCGCTGATCTGCTCGTATGGAATAGGTAGGCTTTGAAAATGCCAGGAGCTAAGTCGTTTTTTAAACTGTTCATACGAGAGCACGTAAAGCCCAGCGTAAGGAGCATCCCGAATGGCGGTTGCGCCAAAACCGGCGAAAAACCCAGGGATACGTTCCGTTCTGTAAATGTCCTTCGCAGCACCAGCAATAGATTTGTACGAATACAAGTTGGACTCGTAGCGGACCTTGATGACGGTCAGTGGCATTAAGATGAAGCCAGCGAAAGCTCGAGCAAATGCACCGGCCACGAGGTTAGCGGTGTTGGAGAGTTTGGGGAGGGATGAAGAAGACCTCAGCGGGTCGGTGACGGGCACTGTGGCGAATGGCAGGGCTGTTGCACGCTGCCGTATGACGTTTAGAGTAGTGAAATATATGGCAGACCCAACACCCGTTCGGAGGGCTGATGGGATCGTGCCTCTCCAAAAGGCAGTCACGGCATTTGGAGACCTGGCGATTTCTTTCACCGCGGCTCTGATCGAATGCGAGCCTGACTGTTGAACGCGTGTCTTAAGTAGATCGAATGGCTGTAGAAGCACAGCACCGAATGTGCCGGAACCGAGACCAGCAACAAAATGGAAGGCTGTGTCGACATGAAAAAAAGGAGATATCAGTGTCTTCACACAACCCTTATTCAGAATTGACGCCGTGTTGCTTACTCGACGAAGACTTGCTCACACCAGACTTCTGCGACATGATGAAGCAGTACAGATAGATGAGCGAATGAATGAATCCTGCCGCGGCGGAGGATTCGCCTTATTGCAAACCCATCTGCTCAATAGATTTTATCCCTCTCTTCCTGACCTGGCATTCGGGTGTCCGCATGACATAAAGGGCGGAAAAGGGCGAAATAAAGGGGAAGTGAGAGATGTAAAGTGTAAAGCGTAAAGTATAAAATGTAATGGAAACTTATTATTATCAAGGTTATTATCAAAGTTATTAACACAAGGAAGGCTAAGCTTGGCCAGGTGCATCCCACGAAGTAATTTTTGGCTCTTGGGTCCGGCTGCCCCGCCTGTCAAATCAATACCAAGGACTAGGGTCCGCCGCTAGGTTCTTTCTTCTACGTCATATATAGTGGGGAGTTGTTATGAAGTTATAAGCCTTGTACAAGTACTTTAACCCTTGTATAAGCTTGAAATAACTTTGGTATAAAGCTTATTAAATCTATAAGTTTTAATTAAATTAAAAAAAAATTAAATTATAAATATACGTATATATATTTTTATATAAAAAAATACGTTTATATTTTTTATAATATATTTTTTAATATTTATTTTTTATAAATTTATTATAAATTTATTATAATTTAAATATTTAATTATATTTTATATTAATATTAATGTTATTTTTATAATTATTATTATAATATAATATTTATAAAATTTTTAAATAATAATAAAATATTTTTTATTATATTTTATATTTATTATAAAAGTAAAAAATTAAATAAATTTATTTTAAAATAAATTAAAATTATTCCGGGTTTTAAATATTATATTAATATAAAAAATATAATATATTTAAAAAATAATAAATATTAAATTTAATATTATATTATTAAAAAATAACTTTTATAAATTTTATATATAAATTAAAATAATAAATAAAATATTTTTAATAATTATTAATTTTAAAATTAATTATTAAAATAACGGATACGGTATAAATATTAAGTTTATATTAATTTAAATAATAATTTTATTTTTATTATTATTATATTCGTTTCGGGTATATTTAATTTATTAATATAAAGTTAATAAATAATAAAATTCATGTTATTATAATTATTAATGTAAAAATAATAAAATAAAATAAAAAAAATAATTAATATTTTATTAATTTTATAACGATTTTATTATTTAAATGTATAAAGTTTATTATTAATATTATTAATATTTTAAAGTTTTAAATAAATATTATTTAATTTTTAAAATATATTATATTAAGGGTTAAATTAATATATTAAAAATAAAAACGGTGTTTTTTCTTTATATTATATATTTTTTTTTAAAGTTAAATTTATTTTAATTTTTTTTTAATATTTTAAAGCGAAATTTATTTATATAAAAATATTTTTATTAATATATTTAAAACGTTTTTTAAATGTTAAGTTATAATATATATTAATAATATTTTATTTTATATTTTTATTTTTATTATTTATAATAAAATAAAATATTAATAATATAAAAATAAAAAATATAATTTAAATGAAAAATATAATTAAATTATTAAAATTATTAAAAATGGTTTAATAATTAATAATATTTATAAAAAGTTTTTAAATTATATTAAAAATAAGTTTAATAAATTATAATTTTATTAATTATTTAAATTTATTTATATAATTAAATTAATTTTTTTTAAATTTTTTATATATTATATTAAACGTTACTTAGAAAATTTATAAGTTTAATTTAATATATTTTTTATATTATTATTTTAAATTATTTATAAATAATAATTTATTTTATTAATTATTATATTATATTAAATATATTTTTCGTAAGTTAATTATTTTATATTAATTAAGTTTCATTTTTATAAATATATATAAAATGAAATTTATAACGAAATATTTTCCGTGAAAAATAAATTAATTTTTTAAGTATTTTTTAAAAAATTAATTAATTAAATGTATTTTTTTTTTAATTAGTAATTAATTTAAAAAAAAATTTTTAAATAATAATATTAATAATAAAAAGTTTATTATAAGATTATTATTATTATAAATACGAGGTTTTTTTATATTAAAAATGTTTTTATTTAAATAATATTTTAGTTATATGAATTTAATATTTTTTTAAATATAAACGGTAAATTTATAAAATTTAAAAAATAATTATAAGTAACGTTTTTTTAAAAAATAAATAATTAAGTTTATTATGGTATAATATTTAAAATTATTTAATACGGGGGTAGGTTTTATTATTTATTAATTATTTATATTTTTTTTATTAGAAATTAATATTTTTATTTTAAGAATTTAAGTTTTTTTTATAGCTTTAAGCGATGTAAGAATTTATTTTTTAAATTATTTATTTAATTAATTATAACTTTAATAATATTAATATTTATTAATATATAATATATAGGATTTTTATTTAATTATTTTTTTTATATATTTTTTTATATTTGGAAATAATATTTAATTATGGTTAATAAAAAAGGTGGTTATTAATTTATAATTTATTAATATTATAATTTTTAGAAATAATAAATTATTATTATTATTAATAATGTTATTATTATTAATTGGATTTTTTATATATAATTTAATAAATTTATTAATTTTTTTTAATTTTTATTTAATTAATTATTTTAATAATTAATTAAATAAAACCATTAACCGTATTTATAGGTTAATATTATTTTAAATGTTATATTAATAATAAATTTATTTTATTATATTTAATTATATATTTATTTATAAAAATAATTATATTTAAAATTAATTTAAAGTTTATATTATTAATGTTTAAAAGGTATTATTTAAGTTTAATATTTAAATTTAAAATAAAGTTATATTTAATATTAATTTATGTAATGTTAAAATAGTAAATATTTAATTAAATTATAATGGATTATAGTTTAATATATTAAGAAAATTTAATATAAATATAAAAGTTTATTACGATAATTACGTAAAATTTAAGTTATTATTTTTTTCCGTTATATTATTAAAATTATAAATGTTATATTAACGTTTAATATTATTTAATATTTTTAATAAAAAAAAAAAAATAAATATTTAATAAAATAATATTTTAATAATTATAAAGTTAAGAATATATAAAGTAAAAGTTAATTAAATTTATTAAATAATAATAATAATTATATATAAATAAAAAAACGAAGTAAAAAAAATAATAAATAAATAAATAATAATAATAATATAAATATATTAAAGTTAAAAAAGTTAAAAAGTATAAAAAAATATTAATTTATAAAGTAAATAATAAACGGAAAATTAAATTAAAAAAATATATATTATAAGTTTAAAAAATTTTTTTTTTTTTAAATATTTTAATAAAATAAATAAAAGTTAAATATATAAATAAAAATTTAAAGTAATATAATTAATAAAAAAATTTATTAAAACTTTTAATGTTAATATATATTTTTTTTTATTATAAAAGTTTAAACTTTTAACGGAATTTAAATAAATAATTATATAAGTGTATATATTATAATATTAAATGTTAAAAAAATAAACTTTTCGGAATAAATATAATGGGTTTTTTTTTAAATAAAGCCTTTAATTTATTAAAGATTTAATTTTAAAGGAAAAAGTTACGTTATTATTATTTTTATAATTAATTTATATTATTATTTTATGCGAGTATATAAAATTTATTATTTTTATATTTTTTTATTTAAAAAAAAAAACTTAAATTCTTGTAACTTTATTTTTTTTTTTTTATTATAATATTATTATATTTTTTCATTTTATTATTTAAAAAAAAAATCTTTAATTTCCTTAACTTTATATTTTTTCTTTTATTTTATTATTATTATATTCCTTTAATTTTTTATTATAATATTATTATATATATTTATTTTTCTTATTATTTATTTTATTATTTTTTTAATACTTTTTTAAATTTTTATATTTATATTATCTTATTTTTTAGTTTTTTTATCGTAATATTACCTTATATATTCCTTTAATTTTTATTATATTATTATTTTTTTTTTTTTAATTTTTAATACGGAAAAGAAAAATATTATAAATATTATTAAAGCTTATTTAATTATATATATATTTATTATTACCTTTTTTTTTTATTATTATATTTAAAAAACATTATTTTAATTTTTTTAGTAATAATAAATTAGATTTTTTTCGCCGTTTACATTATAAAAAATATATTTATTAATAACGTAATAAAATAATTAAACGTGGTGTTCCTTTTAATAAGAAAAAAGTTAGCGAAAATTTTAATAAGTTTAATAATATTAAATTTTTTATATATAATAATAATTAAAATAATAATAATATTATTAATAATATTAAATTTATAATTATATAAATTAATAATTTTAATAATAATAATAATTTAAAAGGTAATTATTTTTATATTAATTTATTATTTTTATAAATATTATATTTTATTTTTTAATAAAATTATTACTTATATTTATTTTTATATAAATATTTTTAATATTAAAGATTTTAATTTAAATATAAATAAAGTTGTTAAATGCGATTATAATATTTTACCGGTAAGTTTTAATTAACGTGAATTTAATGAAATATATAATTATAATAATAATAATAATATTAAAAAATATTTTAAAATAAATATTATTAATAAGTTTAATAAAGGTTTTTAATATATAAATGAATTAATATTAATAATATATTTTTTTTTATTTAATATATTATTTATTACATTTTTTATTATTAATAAATTAATTAATAAAAACTTTTTATTATTAAATTATTATTAATAAAATTAATTTTTAAAACTTTTAAATTTTAAATTAATATTTAATTTATATATTTATTTATTTAACATTAATTAAATAAAATACGTATTATTTAATAAAGTTATAACTTTAATTTAAATTAATAATAAAAAAAAAAGTTTATTAAAAATATTTTTAATTTATTTTTTTAATTTATAAACATTAAAAATAAAATATTAAAACGCTTTTCTTTATTAAATATACGAACGGTTTAAATGTTATTAAACGTTAAGAAATTATTTTTAAAAAAAATATTTAAGAAAATAAATAACTTTAATAACTTTAATAAATTTATAATAATAAAGTTAATAATTATTAATTTTATTAATTTTTTTATTATATTTATATTTTTTAAAATAATTATAAAAAAAATATATATAGAAATAATTTATTTTATTAATAAATTATTTAAGTTTTTTCATTTTTATTTATAAATATTATTTATTTATATTATATTAAGTGAATTTATTTATATTTTTAATAATAATAAATACGAAATTAATATTATTTTTTTATTAAAATTTATTTTATATATATATAATA